TATGACTTTCCTCAGCTTTGCCATAAAGAATGATTTAAAAGAGAACTATAATGCATCATTGTTTGGTTTGAGGCATTAGTTTATTAGTTTTTTTGCCCGGCAGTTAACAGAAAGATTTATGAATGCCCGTATTTCCTCTCCCAGGTGGACCAGTGATATAAACCAGTGACCTTTCAGTCACACACCTGCTGGCACTAAGATAGGTGCCTTTATTCTTTTGAACTAATGGGGAGCAGAGTCTCTCATATTATAGATTGCCTTCCCTGCAAAGGAATTACGCTTAGATCTTCATGGTCATCAGGGCGAGATTGAAACTGCTCAGTGAGGTGAATTTAGTTTTAAAATAAAACTTAAAAATTTAGTAGCTGTTTGATTTGGAGACACTTAACAACAGCTTCTGCAAATGCAGACGGTTAAAGCTTTTCTGAGTCAATTATCCAGGTCCTATAATACATCCATGTGCTCCCTCTGGAGGACTTCACCCAGGAACACAATGGGTTCATATGTGGTTTTGGCTTATCACACTGGAACCGTTTCAAAAGCAAAATGTTTAGTCTAACAGGTCCCTGTATGTTGTTTTTGCATCCAACTTCCTTCCCGCCTCAGCTGCTCTGCTCAGTATGACGTTATTTCCGTAAAAAAACAACAGACTGAGTCGCTAAAACGAGGGCTGAAGGTACAGCTGCTTCTGAAACATGGTGTGGTGCATTTGGTGGAACTTTAAACTTTACGGGCAGTTTGAATGTTTTTGCAGACCTTGCAAATTTTTGTAACCTGGTGTCGAAAAAGCACCGAGTGGGAGGTCGTTGCAACTGATGGAAAGATAAGACTTTAAAAAGTTTTCTGGGTTATGAAACCTGTTGTTTAGAAAAAGATATTTTAATGAGTCGCACAGGTATTAATAGTTATTCTGCTGTGTGACCAACACACCGCAGCTTTGGTTAGCAGAATCAGCTCTGAGCCTAGTTTAATCCCAGGATACAAGCATTTCTTCTGAGACCATCCTCCTCCATTGTACTACAAGTTAAGGTGTAGATGTATTATCATCAACCAAAGTGGGTGCCTCAAATCTGCCTTCTTTTTAATGGCCACAAAGGGGCGACTCCTCTGGTTGCACAAAGACTGGTCCTGTATATATCTATTGGGAAAACACCCCTCAGCTCTGAACTCTATAAACATATAGTTGGGTCGCTCATTTTAGATCAAAATAATTAAAACATTAAGCACATTTTATAAAATTTCAGACATGCCTTGGTTTGAAAACTCCAATATGGCGACAGCAAAATTGCTTGGATTAACCGATGGGTAATACCACCATAGCTATGTTCATTTTTTTATACTGTTCATTATGCTGATGTTAAGTGGCTATGTCAATACATACATCTAAGATGAACACGTGTGGAATCCACTATCCTGGTATCTGACAAACCAGGTGCTTTTTAACCTGAACTATTACCTTGTACTGTTCTAAAACAGGATGTTTTGGTACCAAACCCTTAAGAGAGAGAAAGTGAAACCTGATGTTTATATGGCATTTCAAACTAACTGTTTAGCGGGAGAATTGTTCTTTTCACTTAAAAACAGTTTGGCTTTTATTACCTCAGGACCCTTCAACTGTGGCCACGTGTGGGGTTCTGACCTACATGTTGGGAACCACTGTCACTCTACTACTTCCCAGTTGGGTTTTTGTTTCGTTTATTTTTAGTCATTTTTTGAATGTTTTTCCCGTTTCCTCTGTGCAGCTCTGAGGTATACTTGACTTCTCCTGTGTGCTTGTAACCTACTTAACTTTCTGTGAACAACTCAAAGTAAGTACTCACTTCCAACTGTAAGAAAGAGTCTGGATTTCAAGTTTCCGCATCCATGCAAGAAACTTCTGTTTAACATAACGTTGAAACGTCACAGCTCCATCCATCACGCAGGGGACTGAAACGTTTCCATCTTTGACAAGCTGCTGCGACTTGAAAGCTTCCAGAGAGGCTGGAAAATATAAAATTGTGTCTTTAGATCGTTCGGCTCAATTATTTTGGGTTGGAAAGTAGCTGTCACAGCAAATTAAAGCCATGTGGTGCGCTGCACAAAACCTGCTCTGGAGATTTTACGAAGCAAGCTCGGACTCAAATGACAAAACGTATTTACAGAAATGGCACAGCTTTTCTCCCAGACTCGGGACTTTTAATGGCATGTTGCCCTTTAACATGAATATAATGATTCAGTATCTGAATCATCATCTGTTTCCCTGCTGTGGGAGTTGACATGCTTTGTTGTGTATTCCCACAGTTTAAATATGAGGCTTCTGCTGTCATTTTATTTTGAAAAGTAAAAGACCCTCAGAAATCACTCAAAGGAAGATTTTTTTTTTTAACGCACACTCTTATTGTTTCTCCTCAGTAAGGTGACATTTACAGCTTTCAGCTCTTTGAGTGCTTCTGACAGCCACGTGGATCCAGTCACACATACTGTACTGTACCATAAGCTGATGCAGGCATGTAAATGACTCAACTTGGATATTATTAGCTCATCTTCACTCACTGTGGCGCTGATCAGCTTTGACGTCACTCATAATCATCTGGTGCGAGCGCCTGCAGCCACAGCTCCTCCACCGCGGATGCTGCGATGCAAATCATCTGAAATGTTTTGAGGCCGTTTGGCTCATAATTTAAATTATAAAGAGACATTCATTTATCTGTTTTATTACTCTCTTTTTTTGTTGTTTTTTTTGGGAAAGGCTGCTAGGATGAGTCCGAGTTAGAAAAGAGACACACAATAACCAAACAAACAAAAAGCACGGGCTCAGAAACAACAAAACAAGCACTTTACATAGTTTTTGAGGATTCTCCAAACACATTAAGCAGCCAGTCTTACACAAATCATCAGCATGAATAAAATCCCAGTGAATTTGGAGGGTTGAGGGGATTCAGACAGAGAGGGG